CCTTGAGAAGGAAGGCTGTTCTTCCTCATTTCTATGTGCACGGTCTAGTGGAACCGATCCATGTTGGCCTTTGTATTTGTGCCCCGTAAATATTACACAAGAAAGAGATGAGATACAAGGGATTCTTACTTCTGCCCAAGGTGAACAGATAAAAATTCAAAATATTAATGGTCCGCTTAAAACAGATGAATTGTTTCAAGTCATCACTGGAATCTCTGGGCAAACAAACAACTGGCTTTTAATGGCAGAACAAGCAGCTAAAACAGTGTCTAATGATTGTCTTGTGTGTATGGGAGCCAGACCGCTGTTACGTGTGGTTCCTGCCACCATAACTCCTCAATGTCTTCTAAATATAATGAATTATACGGTCCCATCTGATAATTGCACCTATTGGGATAACATCTATCCCCTGACCACAACTGAGAAAAAGAAACCAATCTTTTTGAAAAAAGTAGCTGTGGCAAATTTCACCTGTGTAAACAGGACCGGAGTGGGCCCGAAACTAGGCACACTAAATGAAACACAATGTGCAAGTATTTTACTGGTATCCACCTTTTTTAAACCTCAATCCCGCAGCGACATCTGGTGGTGGTGTGGAGATGACAAATTGTTTGACAAACTTCCATGTAACACCACTGGATTATGTGCTGCTGTCACTTTGATTTTACCTGTTTCTGTTACATCACTCACAACGGATGAATTATTGACAACTGCAAACAGCATTTTACCTCACACAGAGCATACTAGAAGGAGGAGGGCATCTGAAAATGCATGGAGTGGAGATGACCCTACTTATATTGATAGCATTGGTGTACCCAGAGGTGTTCCTGATGAGTATAAACTAGCCAATCAAGTTTCTGCAGGATTTGAATCTTTTTTATGCTGGTGGTGTACTCTAAATAAAATTTAGACAGAATCAACTACATCCATTATAACGTCCAGAGGCTGGGAAATAAAACAGAACGAGGCTTCTCCGCCGTCCATGAACAATTGTCAGCTACCTCTCTGATGGCTTTCCAGAACAGTATTGCTGTTGACATGTTGTTAGCTGAAAAAGGTGGTGTGTGCTCTATTTTTGGAGATCAGTGTTGCACCTTTATTCCCAACAACACCGCTGCAGATGGCAGCCTCACAAAGGCCCTTGAAGGCCTTCGCTCTCTTAACAGCAAAATGAAAGACCATTCTGGAGTTGACACAAAAATGTGGGATGGATTTGGAGACATTTTTGGTAAATACAAACAATTGGTGCTTTCTATTTTAATGTCTATAGCTGTATTTGCCGCCATCTTGACCTTATGTGGATGTTGTTGTATTCCATTTATTAGAGCGCTGCTAAATAGACTGATTACCACGGCAATACAACCCATGAAAGCAGAAATGTATGCCCTCGTGCCCACTGAAAAATACCCATCTGATGATGAAGACAGCGCAGAAGATGAGATCTCTTTGCATTTTCCTGACTTTTATCCTAATTCCAATGACATTAACAGTAACCCACCAGTTTAAAGTACCTCTGAGTGTACCCTTTAATAGCTAAAACATGATTTCATAGTTGAAAATCTGAAAAGAAGTAACTACTGAATGATAAAATAAATAGCTTAAAGTGAATAAACAGGGGGGAAATGTTGGATTAATTGTACAAGTTATTCTACTTTAATCATATTATACTTATACATTCAAATTTATACATTTGCATATTCCTGTATACTTGTATTACACAAAGTGTTGAAATGTTTCACTTGCTGTCTTTCTAATGCTTGTTATTAGTGTGTGCAGATGGAGTGCTGGCTGCTCAAGGTCAGCAAGGAGAAAACACGGGGAAATGCACTCACTAACACCGGAGAAAGGAGTGAAAGCTCTTATCTCATGATACTGTATGATGTTATGCAGACTTCTGGTACCGACTGGGTTTCATCCCCTCCCTTCTGGTTCCGACTGGCTTCACCCTTCCCCCTCCCCTTAGCAGTCGGAACCACATTGTAGCCAGGGCGTTTCCTTAATAAAAAGCTTGGTAGAGCGGAGACTTTTTCAGAGTGGTTTGGAGAATTGTAACTGAACAGTCTCTGATCACTCTCCTTGCAAGTAAAGCATACTAAAATTCTCTGTGTTTTCCTTTGTACAGGTTACTGCATAAAATGTTTGGTGTTTAAACCTAACAGTTGCATATGCGACGTGAGTAATAATAGACAAAAGAGCGAACAGCAATATCAATAGCAGCTCTAATAATAATAATATTAGCAGTAGCAATAGAGCAGTCGTTATAATAGTAGTTTGTGGTGATAGTTGTAGTAGAAATAACGTAAGAAGTATTAGCAATATTTTTAACAGGACAGATAAAAGCACATTATATTCCATACATATGAATAACTTCTTGCTGTAGACCAAAAGCAGAAAGAACAAATGAGTATTTAAACCAGCAGCTAGGGCCACTAAAGAGTCAGAACTGTCCAGTTCCTCAAACAGGGTGAAGGTTTATCAGAATGGTTCTCATTTTTCCCCACCAACCTCGTCCAACACACGGCAACTTAAAACTGTTGAGACCTCCCCAACCTATCTAGCTTGTTGGCCTCTTGACCTTTGATCCCACTTTTACAAAAGATGACACTGGCAGAAATTCTACTACGACCACTCACACCCACTAAAGGACCAATTTCTCCAGAGCTTGTAGATTTCCACCCCGTCTTATTCCTAAAAACATGGCATAGAGGGTCCTCTGTTCTTTTGACGGATAACTTCTGTGCCACCAGTCTACAGTCTTCTGTACTCCTTGCTGTCCTCAATGACACCTTTGAAATGGAGGAGTTGTCACAGAACTTCGAGATTGTGACATGGACAGGATTTTAAATGCAAGTAAGCATTGTGAAGAGAAATGGTGCTGATATAGTACCCTGGGGTGCTCCAGTATTTCTGATTACAAAATTAGAAAAACGGCTGCCAGGACTGACTTACTGTGGTTGCAGTCAGTGATGCAGAAAGTAGTGTTTGGGTTCAGGCGAATATTGAGAAGTATTGCTTTTAGTAGGAAGGGCTGAAGTTTTAGTTACCAGGAGGTAAATGTGGATTAATATATCAACATAGCAATAATTTTTTTCCCCAATTCAAAATCAGTAAAAAAAAAAAAAAACCTTTAAATGAATTAGTTCTCCCAGCCGCCCAGTTTCTGATCAATATTTTAAAGTTGATAGCGAGTTAAATTGTGACGTTTCGAACACCCAGACCTACTGGGAGGAGAAATCATCAGATCCACCAGCTTTGCTGCCCTGGAGCTAGGAGAGCTCCCACTGTACCTGGTGGTGGGGAGAGAGTGAGGCACAGCCAGCCAATAGATAGCAGGCATGATTGGATCAGAAGCCAGTGATCCTTATTATTAACCTTAGATGTTAAGTTGATAACAATCAACTTAACTTCCAAATATGAGTTCACTGGAGTGGGAGACGATTCAAACTTGTTAAAAAAGCAGATTCAGCTCAAAAGAAAACCTGGTTTCCCTCCATTTTGTAAAGGAATAAAAAAAGTTCCACATCTCCTTTATCCAGGTTTTTCCCTCTTTACATATTTCTCATCTTCTTGTGCTCATTCTGGAAAGCCAGTTTGTCCCGACGCAAACTACCTCCTCTTCTGATCAAACAAAGCCTTAATTCCTCCATTTCCCCCAAGACTTATTACAGAAAAATCCAGTGGTGGATACAATGGAGTCCTCACAGAACCAGACAGTCATGGATGGAATAGCTCCCAGTTTTATCTGAACAAACTCCTGGAGAGCCTTAGCATATCCAGCCCAAGTCTGCACAGCACATTGGCCCAGACCATCAGTCTGCCATAATGATTGAGTATGACAATCCAGCTGGTTAACTGGTTAACCACCAGGAGCTAATAGTCTGAGCTAATAGTCTGAGCAGCCGACATTGAACATGTCCAAGATGACACCATTTGAAGTTAATAAAGATAGCAAGATCTCTCTCTTATCTTAACGCTTTGATTCCCTCTGTCAGCTTGAACAACTGAAAAACCACCAAGTTTAATCTCTATCCTTGTATCAGTGAAGGAGATTAAACTAGATTCCCTAGGAGTTAACTGGTGTTTAGTTGCCAGTTCATCATCCCCCATTCTTAGGAAAAGACATTTCCCATAATGACTGCAGGAAGAAAGGGTTTAAATCCTCTGTGTCTCTTATTCCTCTCCTTTAGTTTAACTCTGAGTTCTCCTCCTTACATCCATTGTAATCTACACAGAGGGAATTCCAGCACCATGCTGGTACTGAAGCAGCTCCTCTGGAGAATAAATGATCACACCCCCCAAGATGTAGATGAAAAACAGACTAATTATCACTACAAAAAAAAAAAAAGAAAAAGAAAAAAAAAAATCCTACCATATGAATAAAGAACAAAATCTAAAGAAAAACCTGCCCTGCCTCTGGTTGCTCAGCAACGGAATTAGAAACCAGAAAAATCAAAAGAGAAGTGCTTAAAAACAAGTCAACATGGCTCAAATAATGAATCATTTGAGCAAAATTAGGGGCATTCAACTCCAGGGCTCGAAGGACGATGTCCGCTATGTTTTAGATTTGTCGCTCACCTGAGATATATAATATATATATATATATATATATTTATATTTATTAAATGGATAGTAAACAAGCTTTCACTGAATTGCAGTCACCTGCATCAGGCCCGTTGAAAGCAGAGGATGGTCTAAAAGGCTCAAAACAAAGATCATCCAAGGTGAGTTTAGTACCCTTGCACTAAAAATGGCATAAAACAAAAGTACAAATGGGCAGAAAAAGTAAAGTGAAAAATCGAGAAAAACTTGAAAAAAAGGAGAGAGCTATTATAACAGTTAGCATCTCTGCAACACTTAAAAAAAACAGGAATTTACAAAAATCTACCTAATAATCTGTTGACCTTTTGAGTTTATCTGTATTTTTTATGCATATATAACATAAGAGGGAAAAAAAACACACTTCTGGCTCCTGTCTTCGATCAGCAGAGGATGAAACTCACTGCGCTTTATAGCCCCCGCCAGATTGTCCAACAAGTAGCTGAGCAGTCTCCGTGTGCCATCAGGTTCCTGATAGAGGCTCATAATTTCTTGTGCAAGTGGGTTTCCTGGAAAGAAAGATATTCAGCCTGATGCAACTGCCAAGCACACAAAAGGAGTACTAGGTAAAAAGAAACAAATAGAAAAAATAAAACATATACATATAAATAAAAACATTGGGAAGACACCTACCTTTTAACCCCAGTGTCTGTAACTGAAAAAGTTTTCCCAATTCAAATGGGAGAACTCGCAACTGGTTGTTATTTAAAAGCAATTCCCTGCAGAGGAAAGGTGAGGATTAGATGAAAAAGAAAAACAAAAAACAAAAACAGAAATATATTATATATATTTGATAGGGCTGCAACTAACGATTATTTTAAAAATCGATGAATCGGCCGATTATTTTTTCGATTAATCGATGAATCGGACAAAAAATATTTTTTATATTAACCTCTTTATTCCAAAATAAACATTTTAGACAGAACAAACAAGCACACAAGTACAGGTTGCTCATTAACTGTACTGGTGCAATATGAAAAATAAATGTTTGTGTTAAAACTACGCAAACTTACATGAGAAATGTAGCTGTACATCCACAAAATATAGGCTACTTTGTTTCATAAAGCGCAAAAAAGACAGGTAGTTTTGTTTTTAAAAGCCCCTAAGGGGTTCAAACAATAGGTCCCCCCATTTCAACAAATTTGTATTTTTTAGTTCTGCCTTTTAAGACAGGAAAGTATAGCAGTTAAAGTATAGCAGTTAAAGTTGAGAAAATACTTAACCATAGAGATAAAAAATAACCCTGTGATTCAAATTATAAATTGTATTTGGAATAAAAATGAGAGAACTAGGGGTGCTAAAAAACACATTCTCCAAAGACAGATATTTACATGGAAATGTGGTAATAATTAATTGACATATTACTGATCTTGCTGGATTTTATTCTGCTTTACTTCCATAAATTGCAGGATCTTCTTTACTTTATCTTTGCCAGAAGATTTAAAAGCCTTTCCCTCATAAATTGCAAGTTAATTTTATTATAAAGAAAATATAAACGCTGCTTAAGCTAATTCAAATGAAATTAAAAGTAAAATAAGTATTCAACCTTATCCCTGTCTGTAACCTACTAACAAGGTAAGGAAAGCATCAGATGAGCTTCCTGAGAAACTAACGTTACGTTTCCCCACTTTAAAACGAAACAAACATGGTCGCTCACCCTGCTGATCAGCTCTCTTCACTGCCATTGAAGGCTCCAGCATGTTTTCTTTTCAGGTGCTGCGTCATAACAGTGGTGCTTCCGTGCCATGTTCATTTGTCTTTACAAAAGTTGCATGTTACGACTTTTTTCGCTTTACAAAGCGCAGGCTATTTTAATTATTGTGATCAATTTGCGCCGTCAATCCCGGCGCATGCGCGCTTCATTTGCAATCCTGCGGCTCTGACTGCAGCGCTGAGAGGGACTCCTGCGGGAGCGCCGCGGGAGAACAGGGTTGGGATGGGGGAGGCGCCCCACGGCAATGACGACGGTGGCGGATGACGCATTAATCGCGCGACACAACTAATCGATGATGAAATTCGTTGCCAACGCTTTTAAAAGTCGATTTTTATCGATTCGTTGTTGCAGCCCTAATATTTGAACATTTTTACTACACAGCCTGGATAAAGATTTTTACCAAAAATCATCATACTTCTGTATTTATACAATTAAATTATAAACAGCCCAAATGCTGAAGCAAAAGTGACCTGGGGTGACGACTTTCTTTATCTCTGCGCTAATTGCATTATGTAAGCTGGTACCACTGACCTGAGAGACACCATGTTGCCGAGCTCTGCCGGCAGGCTCCTGATCTTGTTGGATGAGAGATCCAGGTACACCAGGTTGTGTAGTTTGGCAATGTCTGGCGGGATGCGTGACAAGGAGTTGTCACTGAGGTGCAGGGCAGTGAGGTGGGTTAGAGACCACAGGGCTGTGCTGAGACTCCTTACTCTGCCTGCAGAAACCATGAACAACCAACAAGCGCACCAAGGTTAAATTTAATGTATTTAAATAGTTGGATACATTGGTTGGAAACTGAAATATAATCTGTGTCTAAACAACTAAATTAAAAAATAAAACAACTTAAACTGATGTGATCATTTAAACTAACACAATAACATATTGAGAGAAGCACTATAAATGTCTCGGGACCTTTTACAAAGCAAACAGAAACAATGCATCTATATAAATAAATACACATTAAATACAAAAATAAAAACCTTCTCATTATCCTATACAATGTACAAGTTGACAGCTCTCCACTAAATGTAACTCCCAGACATGATTTAGTTACTATAGAGCACCAGGAAATTAAGCATCAAATAGTTGTATGTTTTTAAACGTTTTTTTAAATTAGGTGGTACTTCCACAGATCTATAATGGTTCTGAATAAAAAAGTCCCTGGGTAAGTGCATTAGGTCAGACATTTCGTGTTTATGGTGACATCATCTAAACAAGCAGGTGCTCTCCTTACAAACATTGTGGAATGTGGCTAACTTTCTTTACATACAAAATGTAATTGTACACAGGAAGACTGCTTATAAGACTGTAGCAAACCTACCATTTTTATTCTTATCATGACATCCCATAGGGGGGGAGAAACACATACAAAACAATAAACACATGCAATGGACTGGTGACCTGTCAATTGCATGTCCATATCATTTAATTTCCACACTGCTCAGAGAATTTAAATTCTTCCTATATTAGTCATTTTGTAATTATTTATTAAACCTCATACCAAAAAGCTGAGATTTCTTCAAATCCAACAAAAGCATTAAATAAGCAATTTATTTTCTATCTTGTTTTTTTTATATGGATTGAAATGCATCACAGATCAGCAAGTTATAAAAAAAATTTAGTTACAGTCGAAATAGAAAAACCCCTCACATTTATGACATAAATATCGGCAGAAGACCACTCATGAAAATAAGCCTGTGGTTAAAAAAATATTTAAATGCCTGTTCAAGCTGATGGACAAAACGTTCTGCATCATTTCTGAAGTCCAAACCTAAAAATATTTTTGTTTTTGATAACAGCCAAAGGAGGATTAGAATTTTACTTTTTGTCTAAACAGTACTTGATGTTGTTTCCCACAGCAGCAAATTAGCCTTCTTTCCCTGTTGTAAACCAAGCAATAAAATCTCAACATTCAGGTTATCTTAGAATATCCCATATATGTTATAGTAATACTAGTTTTTTCGCTGTCTTTTTGCTCCAATATCATGAACTCCTATTATTGAACCGACCATATCTTTCCATCAAAAACAGATTTTCACTTTCTAAATGTGAGATGAGGGTTTTGCATAGATCCCAATGATAAGAGAACACATAAATTATTATTTATGATCTTTTATGTTCTCCAGTTGTAATAAATAAATGTGAGACAAAATTATTTAATCAAAACAGCGTGATAGCTAATGGTTTCAAGTACCTTTGAGGAGCAATAAGTAATTATGACAATTAGCATTTCAAATTGGAAAACAACAGAGAAAACACGTATTGCCATTCAAAGAGTGTTGGTGCAGGTTGCCAAGTCCAGAGGACAAGTACCTACCTCAGCTAAATACAAGATAATAAGTGAAGACTATCAGGCCAAAGTAAGTTGTTTTGCAAATAATTTGGTAATATGCTGAGGCTTCTTTGGTATTGCTGAAACAATTTCAGGTTGACTTACTGCTCTTGTTGCTCTCTTGCAAACATAAAATACCAAATGCTGATATATGTTCTGGCAACCCTGGAAACTCTCATATGATTGGCTAAGAAACCAGGAAGTAAATGGTCTACACAATGCACTAATGTAGTTCCCTGTTGTACCTGTGGATTTTAAAGAAAAAAACCTTGACAAAGACATTGCTGTTGTAGGAAACTAATTGCTTATAAGCAAAGTGACTTCCATCCCAGGTGATAAATGAGAATCATTTTGGTTAACTTTAAAGTAAATTTCACACCGCTTTCTCCTTTAATAAAAAAAAAAACAAAAACAAACACCTGCTTTGACACATAAGCCTTCACTACCGTTTTAAATTAAATAAACTAGAACTTAATTTTAAGAACATTTTAAAAGCACATGACATTATATATTTTCTGTCTGTTTTAATCAGATTAATGTACAGGCACACATGTGACATTTAGCTGGATTAAATGTCTGTTAAAGTAATTTTAAATATGATGCAGATCAAATCCTGGAGTCTTATAGGTTATTAAACCTTCTTAAGTCAAAATCAATTATGTGATAATGCAACTCTTGATTTTTTTTTTTTGCCAAAATAATAGCAGACAGAGTTAAAAAGCTAATAAAATGCAAAATTAAACATGAGGAGGCATTAAAAACTAGTAAGCACTAAGGTCGCAGATCATTATGGTAGAATATTTTCCTGGTTAGAAACAGAAAAAACTGCACAGTAATAGTTTTTGTTATCTATATGAATTTATTTATACTTACCACTGATTTCCAGCTCAGCCCAGTATGACTTCTTCCCATTTGCTGCCTCCTCGCTAGACATAATTGTGTACATCCGCCTGGGATCCGGCGGGTCATATTTTTCCTTGGGCATTCCTATAACACTACAGAGATCATTTGTAATAAAACTGTCAGTGGTAAATATAAGATGCCTACCAATATTCAATAAATTGCAAGACATATCCTGGTTCTGGCCTTAAAACAGTTCAGTTGCCCTACTGGATGATGTGGCTGCCAATTTGATTAATCAACAAATCTCCTGTTAGATATCCACTTAATTAAACACAAATCAAAGATATTAGAGTCATATCCTAGATAATCATCACATGCAATGTTTTTGGAAGTCAAACATACCACAGCTTCCTGTAAGGGACTTATTTATTGTTACGAGAGTTAAAAGCGGATAATTCAACAAATAAATCAGAGAACCTTCCCGCCAACTTAAAAAAAAAGTAACAACGCTGCTTTATAATTTAGTTAAAATAGGAAACTGCAGAGTTAAAAAGGCCAAGACAAACAAAGATAGCCTCGCCGATTGTTCTCCTCGGTGACGCTAACTGATTAGCCTAGCTTAACCTCAATTGGCAGCTATCGGACTACATAACAAAGCCAGATCCTCCAACTACCTCACAGCCTAATGTGATGAAAAAGCCACTTTGAATTTGTCTAATCTCTTAGTCGACTTAACCGAAACATTTGTCAAACAAAAAAACGTCCAAAAATACTCTATGCTGGTCAATTTTGAAAATAAAGAGTGCACTTGTTGTTTACATAATGGCTAAGCATTAAATTGCGCATAAACACAAGGCCACGAATGAACGCAAAACGCTTTCATCCACTATACATCACAAGCAATAACCACCGTTGTTTAATAAACAAAAAATATATCCTTTAAGCTCTTAAAAATCGCCCAAAACACAACGAACAACATCAAATTTGAGCCCTTTAGCTTAGCTCGAGTAGCCTGAAAGCTAACATCTCAATTATTTGAAGCTGACCGAGTTCCTATTTAAATACTTTGTTGTACGAAATGGGCGCTTTATGGAATATTAAGGAGATTTGATGCAGTGAGAAGGAATATATTGATGTGGTTATGAGGGTCGAACACGGAGGGGTTCGTTTTACCTGCAAGAGCATACCAAATCGCGAGGACGACTGCGTGTTCTCTTTTGTTTTCTAGCTACTTCTTCCCCGTTTCCGTTGCTGTATCATGGCGACTGGAGGGTTTTTTTCTCTCGCTCTCTCGATAACAGCGCCGTATCCTATTGGCTGCCGCCAACAAGCTCCAACCAGCTGTTGAATCACAATAAATAAGAACCTGCAAAGGGATCATTTGATGATGGATAGAAAACATGTAATAAAAGAACCAACCAATCTGAAAATCCTTTTTATTCAAACGTAAAGGTAGTGAACTAATGCTTTAATGTGGCTCAAAAGTTAACCGGGCTTAATAAAAAAACAAACAAAAAAAACAATAAATAAAATGTATTTTGTTGATAGAATACAAAACAATTATAACTGCAATGTAAATTGAACAGCAAATCACAACTTTAAAAGAAATAACTGGGAAATTTATTGCAGAAAGGCACAAATAAAATTGACTTGTTTCCCAGTGTCTAAAATCAGTAGTAAAGTATTTTTATTTTAATATCAGCACTGACAGACATCCAACAGGTGATCTTGGAGATAAGTTAGGGACTCTTCCACATGTAGAGGTAAGGTTTCCCCAATGTCTGCTTTGGATCTGGACAGGAAAGCTTCCACTGCTTCTCGAACAGCTGACTTTGACACCTTGTCGGCTGGCTTGTAAACTAATGTGCCTCCTTTTCCAATTTGTTCAGAGGTAGAGCTGGTCAAGTAGCCTGTAAATGACAGATTATAACATGTAAATTGAGAATAAAGTAAATCAAAGCATTTGAGGAACTGGATTTATGAAAAAATGTTTAAAAATAACAAAAAAAAAGGATTTTAAGAATAAAAATCAATAGGCTTTTAAGCTAGGCTGAATGTCTTGGAAAAATGCTATTTCTACACTGTTTACTTTCCTGGATGATCAGTGGGACACACTGATTAGGTTTTTATGAGGTTTTATTTGACCTGCCAATTCCACAATACAGAAATGATTTTTGTTTTTATATTGTAGTAAGAAATGTTTGAAATTCAACAGAATATGAAAAACGGAATCAACCTCATTCACAGCAGAAGTCTCTAACCTTTATTGGATTTATGTTAAACTAAAATGTGCGCATATATATATATATATATATATATATATATATATATATATATATATACACACATATACACACACACACCTGTATAAATGTTTGTGTTTATAGCAATAAAAAAATGTAATGTAATAATAAAAATGTATGAGTTGCTTTGCTTTGCAACATGCATACATCCTAGCAGAATATTCTAATACTCTTAGCCCCACTAAGGATATTCAAATGAACTGAACCAGCAAAAACACAACCGTGAAAATTTGTTCATTATTCAGTGAGTTAAAGTTGATTCAAATAAGATTCTTTAGCCTGCTCAACACATTACAGAGCGGAGCTGTTGACCACCCCAAGATGGCACCATCAAATCACATCAGCGCCCATGGGCGAAAGCGATCGATGCAAGGTCTAATCTTATATTATGTCTATGGTTATAACTGCTGACAGGATATGATGTAACACCACTGCAATAACAAAAGAGGGAAAGGTAGCTACCTAATACTATTATTATTGAGCATTGTGGTAATACAAGCTAAAACATGTTTTAACAAAGTACAAGCCTGGCCAGCCAGACTGACTTGTACAGGCTGTAAGTCAGTCTGGTAAGGTTCAATGCTCTGAGGTCTAAAAACAGATTGGACCAATCACAGAGTGGGAGGCGGGTTTCTATTGCAATACTGCTTGAATGTAATCATAACAGGGAAGGATTGCAGCTGCAGGGGAGCAATGTTTTAAGCCTTGCTTCTGTCAGTGAGCCCACAGGCAGCTGTGGCTACAATGAAGCTTACCACCATCAGTGCGTGACTGAATGGGTTAATGAGTGAATGGAAAGCACATTGGTCAAGTCTTTGCTATTTAAGTACAGGCAATTTACCATTTCTATCATTAAATTTCAACAGCTGGCTGCTTTCAGATCTTTTCTTTTTAGAAGATGTTTTTGTGTCACATCCGTTGTAATCAGATTGGTTAAAAATTAACAAATACACAACAAGATAAAGAAGAGCTGTCATAAGTTTATACCACACGCATATACCACTTTAAATGTACCCTTAACCCAAAAGAAGAGACAAGAATTATACACACCAGTTAAGGAAAGCTAAACAGACAAATTTGGTTTAACATTTTGATCATCTAGCTAATAGTGTTCTGGTTCACAGTAACCTGTAGTTGCAGTAGTTCATCAAGATCTTGACTCATATAGACCCCCAGAAAAATAAGCTGTGGCATCGAGCGGACCAGGATGTCAGCAGCAGACCCTTATAGTCCTGTAAGTTGTGAGGGGAGCTATCCATGGTTTAGAATAGGGGTCACTGACCTTTTAAAGGCTAAGAGCTACTTTATGGGTATTGAGTTATAGAAAGTACTACCAATACTGACCTTTGAATGGAGGAGTTAACGCTCACATAAACTTCATGCATAATAAACAGTTTATTTGAATTTCAAATTTTTTTTTTAAATGACATTTTGAAATCTCTATGAATATATGCATGATTAAAAAACAAAAGGCAACAGAGAAAAAAACATTTAGTTTCAAACCCACAGATGAATTGTGCTGCTTTAAGAAGATGCTGAGGGCATCCAGTAATGGTCCCAGATGGCCCCTTGGTGCCTGCGGGCACTGTGTTGGTGACCCCCGGTTTAAACTTTGGACTAATATCTGGGAAATATGGCAGCCAAGCTCAGCAGCCTAAACATCATCATCTGCCCTGATCATGTTTACTCAAACCCTTATTCTAATCAGACATCAACTTTAAGGACTGGGGCTAAGACAATATCAGTGTTACTTACCAATCTAGGGGTCACAATGTTGTGCCTAATCTGTACATGTTTACATAATGCTGAAGGTCTTACTCTTGTTTATTGGTTTATATTTAAACACCAATTTTAGCTTTTTATGCACCAACAAATGTTGTTATATAGAATAAGACCAGACATGACACAAAACCTAGTTTTCATATTTCAAAACAGTTTGCCTCTAAACGGCAGAACTGTGATTATTGAAATTCTAGTATTAATGATAATGGAAAGATAAATCTCTATATTAGCACTGCTGTGTACTTGTAGCTGCAGATTCAGCTCAGAGGAACAAACGGCCTTTTTCTTCCAGCTCACCATTCATTGCTTCATCATAGCTGAGCAGCAACATCCACAGAAGATGTATCAACTCTTCCCACTTTCGCCAACGTTCCAAGCCATCCTAGGAAAAAAGAGATTATTTACTTGTTTTCCCACCTTTATATGATTGGTTTACCTAAATCATATACAACTCACTCTATGAAATTTTCAGATTCTTGGCAAAATGGTGTATCGATTGAAGTGGGGACATACTATGCATTTTTTTTTTTGCACGATTTGTCTAATAATTCACTGTTTTATAAATAAAAAATTAAAACAGAATACAATGACTTGCAAATCTTTTTCAACCCATATTCAGCTGAATACAATGCAAAGACAATATATTTAATGTTTGAACAGAGAAGCTTAATTTTGTTTTGCAAATAACCATTAACTCAGAATTTAATGGCAGCAACACATTGCAAAAAACTTGGCACAGGGGCATTTTTACTGCTGTGTTAAATCGCCTTTCCTTTTAACAACACTCAGTAAACGTTTGGGAACTGAGGAGACCAATTTTTGAAGCTTTTCAGGTGGAAATCTTCCACATTCTTGCTTGATGTACAGCTTAAGTTGTTCAATAGTCCGGGGGCCCCGTTGTCATATCTTATGTTTCATAATGCTCCACACATTTTCAACGGGGGACAGGTCTGGACTGCAGGCAGGCATGGGGAGTACCTGCATGCTTTTGCTACGAAGCCAAGCTGTTGTAACAAGTGCAGAATGTGGCTTGGCATTGTCTTGCTGAAATAAGCAGAGGTGTCCATGAAAAAGACGTAGCTTGGATGGCAGCATATGTTGCTCCAAAACCTGTATGTACCTTTCAGCATTAATGGTGCCTTCACAGATGTGTAAGTTACCCATGCCTTGGGCACTAATGCACCCCCATACCATCACAGATGCTGGATTTTGAACTTGGCGCCTATAACAGTCCGGATGGTTCTTGTCCTCTTTGGTCCGGAGGACACGACGTCCAGTTTCCAAAAACAATTTGAAATGTGGACTCGTCAGACCACAGAACACTTTTCCACTTTGCATCAGTCCATCTTAGATGAGCTTGGGTCCAGGAAAGTAAACTGCTTTTCTGGATCTTGTTGATAAATGGCTTTTGCTTTGTATAGTAGAGCTTTAACTTGCACTCACAGATGTAGCGACGAACTGTAGTTACTGAGAGTGGTTTTCTGAAGTATTCCTGAGCCCATGTGGCGCTATCCTTTACACACTGATGTCGGTTGTTGATGCAGTACCGCCTGAGGGATCAAAGGTCACGGGCATTCAATGTTGGTTTTCGGCCTTGCCCCTTACGTATAGTGATTTCTCCAGATTCTCTGAACCTTTTGACGATATTACGGACCGTAGATGGTGAAATTCCTAAATTCCTTGCAATAGCTTGTTGAGAAAGGTTGTTCTTGAACTGTTCGACAATTTGCCCACACATTTGTTCAGAAAGTGGTGACCCTCGCCCCATCCTTGTTTGTGAATGACTGAGCATTTCAAGGAAGCTGCTTTTATACCCAATCATGGCACCCACCTGTTCCCAATTAGCATGTTCACCTGTGGGATATTCCAAATAAGTGTTTGATGAGCATTCCTCAAATTTCTCAGTCTTCTTTGTCACTTGTGCCAGCTTTTTTGAAAGATGTTGCAGGCATCAAATTCCAAATCAGCTAATATTTGCAAAAAATAACAAAGTTTACCAGTTCGAACGTTAAGTATGTTGTCTTTGCAGTGTATTCAGTTGAATATAGGTTGAAAATGATTTGCAATTCATTGAATTCAGTTTTTATGTACGATTTACAAAACGTGCCATCTTTTCTGGTTTTGGCTTTTGTACTTTGAGACATTTTTTTTTACCCTACTTATGAAAAAAGCAAGCTCTTTTTCCAAACCGGTAAAGATTCTGAAAGTTACACAATGTGTCTTTAGCTATGAAACACTGTTCTTCTCTCTTCTTATTTGTAAACAGGACTACCCATTAGGGTCAAACAAGAAAATGCAGTTATTATAATAATCACCGTTGGGTCTGCTGCCAGAGTGCAGTTCTTCAAAAAGTGCAGCAGCAGGCTAAGCGACATGGAACAAGAGCTTTTGAGTGGGCATGCATAGTCCAGCAACTGTTCCAACAGCTTACATCTCAGCAGCTTACTCTGCAGGCTCTCCAGCAACAGCATCCTGCTTATCACAAACAGAAAAGCCTTAAAAAAATGGAGACCAGTAATTGTACTCTAGAGGTGGGCAATTCAATTCTTAGTTAGAAAGTGCACGTCAAAAAGTTCAAAATTAACTTCATTCTAAAACAATAACTTGAGCAGATAATATGAACTTTTAGAGCACTAACTGAAATAGACAATCTAAAAACACTATTCTCCATTCTAGCATTCCTGTAGTGAGAAATTTATGCTAAACCTATATACAGACTCCATGCCTGCTTGTCACCTGTGTGCTCTTTGAGGCATGTGGCTGAGGACCATATGGAAGAGCTCCTGGGAAAGCTTGGCAGCGTTCAGAGCAGGAGAACGGTCAACCTCCAGAGCCAGACACAGCATCCTTTGGAAGCTGGAAACTATTCTGCAGCAGACAAAGTGCAGCCAAAACATAAGTACACAGAAAGATAAAGACAAGAATGTATTTATGTATTTTGTTGTTTGGTTACCCGATTTGGTTATCTTTCTTTTTAATTCCTTCGTTGCTGTCTTCATTCTCTGTTGTTTTCATAATGATGCAAAACAGCCACTTTATGACATCTCTGTAAAGAAGAACAATGAAAACACACACATCCAAATTGTCAAAAAAATGTGGAAGTAGTTTTGGCAATATGACAAAATGCATTTTAAATCAGGTGAAAGTTCCAGACTTACATCCTTTACTTTGTGTCTCTTTCATGCAAAAGTATTTATATTTAGTGTTGAAAGCACAAAAACAAAACAAAGTTTAACAATTTGGAAATCTACATTTAAATGAAACTGAAAATATAAAGAGAAAAATCCATCAAACTGAATGTTACTATGGCAACAGAAACAGAGGCTGAGGAAACTCTCTTAAATGGAAAACTCAAGAGTTTCTCTGATTTCAGGTTTAGTAAGCATAGTTTTCAGTAAACCTACTTTGTGAAACGGGCCTCTGGTTATCCATCTTACCTGACACGAGAAAACTGCCGATCACATGATAGGGTCGCCTTTGCAATCGAGTGGCCAAGGGAAGACGAACTGCATCTGGCAATGAAGTCATCCTCTAAAGTCTGCACAGAGTACTCTAAAAGCATGCGCATAACATCCCATTTATGCTTCTGATTGTCATCCTAATGGAGAAAGAGGGCAAAAAGACACATATTTACCTAATATTTATGCATTTTCATGTTATAAATACATATATAATTTAACACACAACACATCCTTACATTTTGTTCCTTGGCGTTCTGAAGTTTATTGGATATGATTGAAGTAAGCAGCTCCCAATCCCAAGGAATCGACGATCTATTAGCTCGATGGTGTCTGGAATGAAAAAGCCCACTCAATGTTTGCATTCAAAAACAGAGAGTAAAAATCTGTCATAGGAAATATGAACTATTCTTTTTCTAGAAATAAAGTTGCTTTTGCTTCCCCTAACCTCTGGGTCTTCATCAGCAGATTAAAAGACTGTATGCAGAGGTGATAAGGACAGTGTGGGTCAAGCAGAATCCCACGAAGAAGGTGGGTGGTTATATCTTTGGGAGGATAGTAACCAGGCTGCAGTAGGTCAGACAGCAGGTGCAAAGTGCCTTCTGGGTAGTTCTCCTCGATTGTACTGTAAACCAGACTCAGCTTCTGACGACACAGCACCTCACCAGCTTTGGGGTTCTCATTGTCTCTCTTGATCTAAGTCAAAAATATATATTAAAAAGCAGTGCCATGAGGCTGCATTAAGATTTTATGCAGATATAGACACATCTCTTTGCACCACTGATAAAGAACAATAAAGAGTCTTTACAGTAAAATAAAGGAAGCATCAACTCTACAGATTCAAACAAAAAAAAACTAAAATTATCTCTGGAAAAAAATCAAAATCTAAATAAGTCTAGGGCTGCAACTACGAATCGATAAAATCGATAAAAATCGACTTTTAAATGCGTTGGCAACGAATTTCATCATCGATTAGTTGTGTCGCGCGATTAATGCGTCATCCGCCGCCACCGTCATCACATCCACTTGACTGAAACGGGGGAAGAAAAAAAAATACGGCAGAGCGAGTCAGCGCCGCAGTTGCAGTGTTGCCAACTCGGCGACTTTTCAGACCCCTCCAGCAACTATTTTTCAAAAAAGCGACTAGCGACAAATCTGACGACTTTTTACGGTGTCAAAGTCGTAACATGCAACTTTTGTCAGACAAATTAACATGGCACGGAACCACCATGTTTGTTTCGTTTTAAAGTGGGGAAACGTAACGTTAGTTTCTCAGGTAGCTCATCTGATGCTTTCCTTACCGTGTTAGTAGGTTACAGACAGTGATAAGGTTGGCTACTTATTTTACTTTTAATTTCATTTGAATTAGCTTAAGCAGCGTTTATATTTTCTTTATAAATAAATTACCGTGCAAATTATGAGGGCAAGGCTTTTAAAGTTTAAATCTCCTGGCAAAGATAAAGTAAAGATCCTGCAATTTATGGAAGTAAAGCAGAATAAAATCCAGCAGATCAGTAATATGTCAATTAATTATCTGCCACATTCCCATGTAAATATCTGTCTTTGGAGGATGTGTTTTTTAGCACCCCTAGTTCTCTCATTTTTATTCCAAATACAATTTATAATTTGAATCACAGGGCTATTTTTATCTCTATGGTTAAGTATTTTCTCAAGTAGCAACTTTAACTGCTATACTTTCCTGTCTTAAAAGGCAGAACTCTTATAGTCTAAAAAAAACTCATTTGTTGAAATGGGGGGACCTATTGTTTGAACCCCTTAGGGGCTTTTAAAAACATCTTTTTTTTCGCTTTATGACACAAAGTACCCTATATTTTGTGGATGTACAGCTACCGGTACATTTCTCATGTAAGTTTGCGTAGTTTTAACACAAACATTTATTTTTCATATTGCACCACTACAGTTAATGAGCGACCTGTACTTGTGTGCTTGTTTGTTCTGTCTAAAATGTTTATTTTGGAATAAAGAGGTTAATATAAAAAATATTTTTTGTCCGATTCACCGATTAATCGAAAAAATAATCGGCTGATTCATCGATTTTTAAAATAATCGTTAGTTGCAGCCCCGTCTGTGGAATGCCCTCCCAGACCACCTTAGGGCCCCACAGACAGTGGATTGTTTTAAGAAAGGATTGAAAACTTTCCTTTTTAGAAATGCCTACAATTGTTGATTTTAATTTGTTTTTAATAGGCTACCTATGCCTTTTAATGTACTGATTTTAATTATTGTCTTTTTACACTCTTTTTAATGTTATGGTCTTTTAAACTTGTTTTAATTTTCCTTTTTTTTAAATGTAGCACTTTGAGATTTGTTGTCAAATGTAAAGTGCGTTATAAATAAAATTCACTATTATTATTATTTATTTTTTCTTAAAATAAGTGCATTTGTTCTTGGATTGAGGAGGTAAAGAGAAATACACTTAAAATTTACACTTAAGACAATTTACACTTAAAATAAGAAAACAAAATTGCATTGTCCTATTTCAAGTGCATATTAAATAATTATCTTCTTTTAAGAGTAAACATACTCATTCCATTGGCAAACTCTCCCCTTTACCTACTCAGATTAAGGGCACATACACTTAATTTAAGAAATGTTTACTTATTTCTAGATCGTTTTTCCAGTGTTCTGTTCTGTTTCACTATGAACATTCTTTGTTTTATAGTTTCAATAAGCTTGTAGAGATGGTGGAAGGTTTTCATATAGAAGCCCAAGTTTTTTTAAATCAAAATCCCCTGATAATATAAAGTTCTTGAATACATTTATTTCCAATGCCCTGTGGACGAGACACAGGCCAGCATAATGCAAACCCTCCTCTATATGTGTGAGGGTTGTTTTTAGCATATTCATATTTTGATTTACAAAGAAAAATATACTAAGAGGATGAATTGTAAGAGGACATTATCTTGATCTTAGCTGACCAAAACGCAGGCCGTTAAAAATCTCAGCCAAATAATATATTTTTTCATAATTTTTTATGACATGACTCAAAAACAGGTTAGGATGTAGATAGCATCCCTGTTTCTTATAAAGATGCCACACTGTGATCCCTACATTAACCTTTTCATTTTCTTTTTGAACCGTCCTGCCTGTAGTGTGTGGTAACCAAGATAAGGGTCCGTGTTCAGCCTGGGTGGTCATTAGTAGAGTGAAATGGAGAAAGTTAAGATTTAATTCAAAGAAACATTGATTACCCTAAAATGGTGATTTAAAGAAACAAACTATTATATTTAAAAAGGGATTGTTTTTGGTTGTCAAAAATTGGCTACCTGATGTTTAGTTTAAAAACATTCCTTGACATCAGGTTTTGTTCCTACTAAATTAATGAACACATATTAAAACGCAAACTGTTTAAGTGCAGGAATATATTACTCCAATAACGTATGTGTTTAACACTTCCCTCATCTTTAACAGACTGTATGGATAAGGTTTAAAAGCAATGAAATACAAAATCAAACACTGATGTTGACCATCTCACCAGAACGTATCGTTGAACCGCCCTCAGTTTCTTTAGAGTAATTGGGCAAACGTGTCTCCGATCTTCTCGACTGACTGCTCTGAAGTCTGAGCAGTGACTGCTCTCTTCGTTCATATCTTCTTCGTCACTTTCGTCTTGCCATGGCAATGATATTGGACTGGCCCCCCCTGTATCCTCTCTGTGAGTCTCCAGCTTCAACTCAGGGGTGCATCTACGAGGCGTGTGGTCGGACTTGGGTGACTGGTCGCCATGGACGGAGGAAGGATTATCGGAGCAATATCTTTGTCTGGGTTTAGACTTGTCTAAAGCTGGCATTTCCAAGACTGAGCAAAAATCTTTGTTTTGTGTTTGATGTTGAGATGAAGATGTAAGAGTTGATGACGTAATCATTTCTAAAGAATGAAAGCCATCTAGATTGTTTTCTATAGCTTTGTGCTGGTTTAGAATTGAATCCAATCCCTCCTTTGCATTCAGACAATCAGCAGTAACTTGAAGGGGCTCCATTGTCTGATCCTGTAACAGTTTGCTTATATGTTCCTTTGGGGTTTCATGTCCTTCCGCTGCAGATTTCAACCGTTCTGGAAGACACTCGGTGACCACCGAGTCCACTTGAGACATATTTAATGAAGAAGGAGTCATTTCTAACCTAGTTTTCCATTTTTGTGATGCACCGTTATAGTCCTGTGTAGAACACAGTGAAATCTGCTCAGAAACGTTGGTTTGCGGTTGGCTAGGCCCTGAAGTTTCTAGTCCTTTGGTATGTGATTTGAGAGATGACAATAGCTCCAGTTTCACATCGGGGAAATCCTGAGAGGGTTTTACTGGAACATTTTGCTTCTGTAGTTGGGTAGGAAAATCCAAACATCTATTCTTTGGCTTTGGAGTCTGACAGATCTCCTGAGGACAGAAAACATCAGAGCCTTCTGAAAAGTTTTTTAGTTGTTTAAAATCTTGGCTGTTTAGGATGTTATTCCCATTCATGATGCCTTGTTCCAACCCACTGTCCCCATTTAGAGGACAGCCGTTTGTCTCTGGTTCTGTCTCCTTTGTCTGGTTCTCAGTCAAGTCTATTACAGGTGTTTCTGTGAGATTAAGCCTTGGGCGCAGCTTGAGCTCTGGACAAGCCCATCTTGGATCAGTGAGGTCGATATAATGCTGAGAAGCAAGAAGGGAAAACGTCACGCAGTGAGCATAAAATCTCTTCAATGTAACAACAGGAACATTTGCAATTATAGAGTGGCAGAAAAGGAATGACTGACAAGATGGATGGACTTATGAATTAATCCATTGGTGATAAGAGAGTAAACAAATGGATTGATGAAAAGATGGATGGATTGCCAGGTACATAGAGTAAACTATGAATAATTCACAAGTGGAAGGATGAACAGCTAATGTATGGTTGGGTAGATTAATGAGCAGACAGATGGGTAATCAACTAAAGGGATGATGGATGAGTACAGAAATAACTATATTCTTTTTTCACACCCTTAGAGACGCAGAATAGAGTCAAATTCCAAACTTTGCCAGATGATGTTGCAAGCTTATATAAAGTCTGCTACAGACTACTGCTGCAAGCATTTAGTCTCAACTGTTAAAAAAAAATCATTAACCCACTGTGATCAACATAGACAGAGAATTCACAGTCTGCTGCTGCTTCTGGAAGACTACTATGAAACTTTAAAGTCAAATGAAATATGCTATTTTCATTCAGTCCATCATGGCAGATAAGGTAAAAGTCTATTTATCCTTTGTGCTTTTTATGGGTGCTGCCATATTGGCATCATCAGCGAATCAAATGTCTCCTTGAACCCCAGTCGGCCTCGGCAGATGGCCGCTCACACTGAGCCTGGTTCTGCTGGAGGTTTCTTCCTGTTAAAAGGGAGTTTTTCCTCTCCACTGTCGCTACAAGCATGCTTAGTGTGAGGGATTGTATTTGAGTCAAAGCAATCAACTGGTTTTCCTTAGATAGAAAACCTTGAATCAATTTGACTGTATGATCTGGTTGAACTGTAAAGTGCCTTGAGATGACTTGTGTTGTGAATTGGTGCTATATAAATAAACTGAATTGAATTGAAATGTGATTTTGTGCAATCTACATGAGAATATTATTAATTGCAACGTACCAACAACAAGGACTAGATCTAAGCATGTTAGAATGTCAGAGCAGGAGCCATACATATTTTTTTGTCATGTACTTTCCTTCTCCTCTCTGTATTTGGATGTGCACAAGTATGTGACGTCAACGCACACTGTCACCAGCATTTTTGGATGGTGTCAGCTTGTACTATATGTCTGCTCACCTGAGTTTGCAAGATCTCTGATTAAGGCTGCAGGGGGAACTTGAGGAGAAACTTTCTGGTGGTCATTGTCACTGATATCATATACGCATTGTTTGAGGTATCCATGCATGGCTCATAAGTAAATGTCTGTTTCTGTACTAAGCTGGCCTAGTAGAGCAATAAAAGGCAACTTTGTGTGTAATGATTTAGCATAATGTGTCTTCAGTAGCCTAAACCCCATGTCTCATCTGGCTGTGACGTTTGGATGGAACTTTAAGTATATATAAGACAATATTGAGGCCTATGTTGCTAAAATAAACCCCATGTCTGGAAAGTGAAGACATTTTTCAAAATCCCCCAACCCATTGTAAGATGTGCAAGCAGAAGCATGGTTGGATTACGGTGGCACAGTGACTGCAGCTTTTAGTATGATGTGCTCGCTCGGTGCAGTGAACTGCAGTTTCAGTTCAGTTAATGATGGCTCAGTGCAAAGATTGCTTATAGTCTACTGTTCAAATGTTAATGTACCTTGAGTGGATTATGTACAGCACATTTGAAACGACAATGTTTATATACTTTTGTTTGATTTTAAGGATTTTATATCATGTCACACCTTGATTGAGGTGGCAAACAACCCTGCTATTTTATCCCTCTAGCCATTCTAAGGTTTATGTGTTGGATCGACTTCCAGTCTTAACCTAATGCCCCGTTGTCAAACTTGTTACAATCTTTTGATTCGGCTGTGTTCAGTCATGCACTTAAAAGTTGCAAGGCAGTAAAATGGATGTTTTTGAAAAATTTTCTCTACAAAATAATATTTTCCCAATAGCATTTAGATAACGAGTGACACACAAAATAATTTCATATCATTATATCAGGCTGGACAGATAATACGGACTAATTTGTTATCCGATTGTGATGCATTTAATATGTTTATAAAGTTTTATAATGAAGGAATATTATCATTTATTTCTTAATTCGCATAATGAGGAAATCAGTTGTCAGCCTCTAAGTGAACCACCACAGCCCGGCATAGAGCTGCTGTCAGTTATCTCATTGTGATAACACATCCCAGCAAAGCCAATGGCAAAAAAAACTAAATAAAATAGCAAATAGTCAAAATAATGCGTGGAACATGCAAAGTTCTACAAATATATATTCATAGTTTATGGGTGGTTAGTTCTATGGCCAGTTCTATAGTTATGGGTAGTTTAGGGGTGAGTAGCCCTTTAAAGAGACATTTTGCAAGTTTTTCCTGAAAAATATCGTTATAATAGCCTTTTTTTTACCCTTTATGACAAAAAAATAGTTTGATGAGCAGACTGACACCTCAGTAGTTCAGCATAGATGCATATTTAAGCCTGCAGCCTATTTTCCCTAAATATATTTTGGGTCAGAAGTTGTGCTGTTTCTGAGGATAGAACATCAACTACATCCATCCTAACTGGGTTCAATCTAGCAAACAATTGACATGTTTTAATCAAGATTGATTTTTTGCATATTCAGAAGGTCAACTCAGACACCAATGAAGGAAGTTAAAATCAAGATAAAAAAAAGAAAACAAAACAAAAAAACCACCTCCTGCCTGTTTAAAGTCGTAGGGAAACGACTGTTATAACCGTTGCATTTCCAAATTCTCCGGCGTGGTGCCCCGACTTTACACGAGTGAATAAAGTGAATGTAATTGGTTGTTATCAAGGGAGCGGGATTGTTGTGGCGGAAGGTTCGCAACCTTTTTGCTTGTAGCTGGTTTCTTCGAAGTGTCGTTGATAACCAGTTAGCAACTTAGTGCTAGTAGGTTCCCAATGGGAAATTACATTGGGACGAAGTAGCACTAAATTGGTGACTTAGAAACAATACTGTCAAGGAACGCTATAGACAACGGAAACATGCAAGAGGAGGAGAGTTTAGTGTCAGAGGTCGGGGCTGAGTCTCCTCCGTCATACATTTTTTATTTACAGGAGGAAAACGGGGATGAAGATGTTGTGGAAGAGGACGCCAGGGCGGCAGAAGGATGGTTTGGTGTAGAAGGCTTACAGCCGTACATGTTTGAGCCCTTGCCTCGCAACGCTGCCAGTTCTGTTAGCTCTACGCCTGCCGAAGACAGACGTCCATCCCCGTGAACACTGGGACGGAACTTAATGGAAAAGTGAATAATGATTCTTATTTCTTATTTTAATCGTTTTGTATATTAGCTGCGACATATGAACCAAGAGGCTATAACCAAAAAAATTTGATTGACAGTTGACTGTTGATATATGATTGGCCAAATTTAGGTGTACAAGCTGACGTATAACTAACTGGCTTGCATAAAATAAAGGGGGGAAAAAAGATTTTAGGACAGGATTTTGTTTTAAATAGACATTTTCTAACTTTTGGGGGAATATTATCTGATAAAGAGTACATTTATATACATTTTTAAGCTAGAATGATTTGACATTTAAATATGACTTCCCTATGACTTTAAATCAGAGTGTGAGAAATGTACGCCACACTTTTCAGGTTTCTATTTTGGGAAAAAACAATATAATTTGTCTTCCACTTCACAGTGTGGTATTATACAGAAGAGGATTAGGGCCACTGAAAAAAAAAGTTAACTGATTTTTACATTTAATTTCAGTTTAATGTAGGGAAAAAAGGTCAGAATTTAGACTTTTTTCTCAAAATTCTGACTTTTTTCTCCCATATTAAACTGAAATAAAATTTAAAAATCTGTTTTAATTTCTTTTTTTTCTGTTTCCCTAATCCTCTTCCGTAGTGTTAAAGTTTTTCGCTTTTTATGTGCTTTTACAACTACACAGCTAGCTAAACATGCTCCTTGAATGAGTTAGTATCAATTTATGTTGTTCTAACAAAGTTTACCTAAAATTAAATTTAAGGAATTAACTTTAAAAGCTTGTAAGTTGGTACATTATAAAGGAAAATGTTAACGTAGGTCCTTACCTGGGTAACACCTGTGTGTGCGCGCGCGCGTTTTTACCTTATATGCCTGCCTGTTTCTATGGCAACAGCACGGTTTCTGTTAGCTTACCCGTGGGATGTTGATGTTCACAGCTTCAACGTCCACCCGAACCTCAGAAAGCGGCGGTTTAGACTTGAAGCCTCCGTAAGACCCAACGATCTCAACATCGGAGTCTCCTGAGCTGAGGGAGATGGCGTCATCCATGTCAACCCCGGTCATCCAGCGCCTCCCGCCGAGCAGACAACTCCAAGCAACGGCAAAGAGATCAGCTCCCGGTCAGCCGATCACGAAAGTTTCACCCCGGCATGAAGACCCGTGCTGGCTGGCCCAGTCCCGAACAAAGACGAGCAATAGTGAGAGGAGAAAATGCCTATTTTGTTTTCCACGAACCGCATGACAACGTCAAACAGAAAGCATTTCCCTGTTTGAGTCAAAGGCAATCACGATGCTGTCCGCCATTCATTACTTCAAATTAAACCAGTTTTTAAACCTTAAAAACTATTATTTATTTAAAAAAACAGCAGTGTAAGATTAGGTGTCGCTTCACCGCTTCCTTGTTTTTGCCTGTCACATTTATTTCCTCTGCTGTATGGCGCATCAGAAAAAACAATCCTCAGAGCTGCAGCTACCTCCACCTGCTGTACAGGAATGTAAGGGCAAAAGACACCTGTATGCACACTATGCATATACAGGTGCTGGTCATAAAATTAGAATATCATGAAAAAGTAGATTGATTTCAGTAATTCCATTTAAAAAGTGAAACTTGTATATTATATTCATACATTACATACAAACTCATATATTTCAGATGTTTATTTTGTTTAATTTTGATGATTACAAATGACAACAAATGAAAATCTCAAATTCATCATATCAGAAAATTAGAATATTACTGAAGACCAATAAAAACAAAGGATTTATAGAAATGTTGGCCAACTGAAAAGTATGAACATGAAAAGTATGAGCATGTACAGCACTCAGTATTTAGTTGGGCCTCCTTTGGCCTGTATTACTGCAGCAATGCGGCGTGGCATGGAGTCGATCAGTCTGTGGCACTGCTCAGGTGTTATGATAGCCCAGGTTGCTCTAATAGTGGCTTTTAGCTCTTCTGAATTGTTGGGTCTGGTGTATTGCATCTTCTTCTTCACAATACCCCATAGATTTTCTATGGGGTTAAGGTCAGGAGAGTTTGCTGGCCAATTAAGAACAGGGATACCATGGTCCTTCAACCAGGTACTGGTAGCTTTGGCACTGTGTGCAGGTGCCAAGTCCTGTTGGAAAATGAAATCTGCATCTCCAAAAAGTTGGTCAGCTGCAGGAAGCATGAAGTGCTCTAAAACTTCCTGGTATGTGGCTGCGTTGACCCTGGACCTCAGAAAACACAATGGACCAACACCAGCAGATGACATGGCACCCCAAACCATCACTGACTGTGGAAACTTTACACTGGACTTCAAGCAACGTGGATCAAGTGCCTCTCTTCTTTTCCTCCAGACTCTGGGACCTTGATTTCCAAAGGAAATGCAAAATTTACTTTCATCAGAGAACATGACTTTGGACCACTCACCAGCAGTCCAGTCCTGTTTCTCTTTAGCCCAGGCAAGACGCTTCTGACGCTGTCTGTGGTTCAAGAGTGACTTGACACAAGGAATGCGACAGCAGAAACCCATGTCTTTCATACGTCTGTGTGTGGTGGTTCTTGAAGCACTCACTCCAGCTGCAGTCCACTCTTTGTGAATCTCCCCCACATTTTTGAATGGGTTTTGTTTCACAATCCTCTCCAGGGTGCGGTTATCTCTCTTGCTTGTACACTTTTTTCGACCACATCTTTTCCTTCCCTTCGCCTCTCTATTAATGTGCTTGGACACTGAGCTCTGTGAACAGCCAGCCTCTTTAGCGATGACCTTTTGTGTCTTGCCCTCCTTGTGCAAGGTGTCGATGGTCGTCTTTTGGACAACTGTCAAGTCAGCAGTCTTCCCCATGATTGTGTAGCCTATAGAACTAGACTGAAAGACCATTTAAAGGCTTTTGCAGGTGGTTTGAGTTAATTAGCTGATTAGAGTGTGGCACCAGGGGCCATCAATTTTGAACCTTTTCACAATATTCTAATTTTCTGATATGATGAATTTGAGATTTTCATTTGTTGTCATTTGTAATCATCAAAATTAAACAAAATAAACATCTGAAATATATGAGTTTGTATGTAATGTATGAATATAATATACAAGTTTCACTTTTTAAATGGAATTACTGAAATCAATCTACTTTTTCATGATATTCTAATTTTATGACCAGCACCTGTATAACGTCAACATTTCTTAGTAAAGGAACCGAGATAAGTAAATACTAATTCAGTAATATAACAATAACACTTTTTTTTTATTTCATTCTGTTACCGAATTTGAAACTGAGTACAAGATTAAAAAAAAAAACATCAGGTTTTGATATCCAACCATGATCAAAATCATCATCTAAGTCTTATTCATTCTATAAATGCTACATTAGACAGATGCAGAGGTGTCAAGTAACAAAGTACACATACTTTGTTACTGTACTTAAAGGGGGACGCTCATTTTTTTTATGTTTTATGTTATTACATCATGTTCTACTCACCCATATAAATTTTGTGTCATTTGGAGCTGTTCTGAAGATATTCAGTTAGGTTATATCCAAGTAACGTCTTCCTATGGGCAAACGACTTGAAGGATAAGCCCTCCATCCCTAGCATTGCATGCAGCAACTCTGACACATCTTTACCCATGGGCCCAGGTTTGCATAGGGACCATAGGGACATGTCCCTACCAAACTTTTTGACCGACCCACTTGTCCATACCAACAATTAGATGTGAATAACATGTTTATAATTTACAATACAGCTTTGATGCAGCAGTAGAGGGGCTGGAGAATATTGACAGACGAAAACATTTTTGTTCATGTGGAGGTTCCTCAATCTCCTCCTCAGTGTTAGTATTTATTTATTTATTTATTTATTTATTTATTTATTTATTTATTTATTTATTTATTTAAAGGTCTTCACACAATAAATTTATCATTTCACTTTTGTGTGGGGGTTTTTGGCATTAGGTTGTTTACTATTATGGGTGCACACATTTAGTAAACACTTTTTGTTTATTTGAATTGAATTAACTACTTTTCTTAGCTGAGTTTGAAGGACTGGCTGAGTGGAGAGGACTGGTTGAAAGGCAAACCATGAAGTGGGACGTACCATCAGGCTGCTGGAAGCAGGGGACTGGATGTTAGAATCTGCTTCTCTCTCTCCACTTATAAAAATAACTGTTAAAACATTTTGGTGTTATGTTGTTTTCTTTTGATAGTTGTGTTGTAGTCAAAAGGTGTTATTTTGAATTTGTTATTTATGTTTATGCATTGTTTTTCTTTGTCTCATCTCCCACCCCTCCTCGTTTGTATAGGCTAGCCTTTGTGTATAAATTTCCTTGTGTGTTCATTGTGTGAGGTCAGTTTTTTGGTTTTGTTACCCTGAATTTGATGTAAGTCCTTTGTGAAGAATTTTTTGGGAATAAATAGTACTTTTTTATATGCCTTTGTCCTTGTGCCTTACTGGACGGACCTCCACAGTTCATTTTATTTATTTATTTATTTTACAATTTTGGTATAATTCCTGCTCTAAGTGGGTCGCTCTATGAGCTAAAGACATGTTTTCGAGTCTTTATACTCCAGTTAACGATTAATTGATTACTAAATTTGTTGACATTTCAATAATTGATTATTCCAAAGAATTGTTTCAGCCCAAGATAAAATACATGATATTGGTTAAATTGGTTTAACTTGTAGAGTGAAATTAATATTCTAAATGTTCAGTGTCAGTTCCAGTGCTCATGTAAATACAATACATTTATTTGGTGTCCCTTGAATCTATTATTTTGCTATGTTTCATGATACAGAGAGAATATTTACAATGTAAGTGTGTTTTTTACCTCTGTACAATTGTATATCTTCAAAAAAGAAAAAACAGGATAAATCCACATATAACAGACAGATTTAGACTATATTTAGTTAAATAGGCACAGATTTACTTTCTATCTTAGTCGCTGGTAATTTCAAATGCAAACCTTTTCAAAGTGGAAAATAGTCCTAATTCCACATGCATTAAAGCCAGTGATGCTTCAAACATTGATAAACAGCATCACGTCAAGCATAAAAAACCGAGCATGCATATTTTTGCATAGGACCAATGACATCAGACCAATAGTGTCCCTACCAAAGTTGAAATCAAACCTACGCCCTTGTCTTTACCCTTCCCATGTAGCTCACCTAAAACCATTTTTGGGCTCAGGATGCAGAAAAGTCTCATTGAAATGATCAGGTTGGTTAGTGGATGCTTGGGATCCAGCTAAACTTGGTGGATGGTGTCTTGTGGTAACTGCTCTGTGCTCTGTAACCTCCCCCTAACCTTGACCAGTCCTGTGTTCTTGTCATACTTGGGAGAAGGGGAGCCCAGATGACTGGAGGCTGGTAAAGGTCAGTTGGACATGACAGTCTTGACATCCTCTGGGAATGATTCCAACTGTGCCGTTCTAAGGAGGAGGTTCTCTGCCTTGATGAAGTCAACTGCTTTACTGTGTGGCTCAGAGTTTGGATCAGCCGGCCTGTGAAGGGATCATGCGGTTCTCTGCATCAGGTCCTTCCAAATGAACAACTGACTCACATCAGGGAGTTGAGGACGAGGGACAAGAGTAACATGTCTGCAGAAGGATGATTTCTTCAGCTCAGGATCATCTGTCTCTGGATTGGATTATGGGCTGGTTGGCCAGTGATCCTCTTTGTAACACAGGTCCTTTGTGGCAACGATCGGGACAGCTCCTTCAGGGTCTTATCCATTGTGATCTCCCTGATGGCTAAGGTGACATCGTTGCTTAGAACACTGGCTAGCACTACCGAGCACAGACCTCTCCAGAGGGATTTGGTCGCTACTTTAGCGTAGCCTTCAGCTGGTAAGCGCTTAGAGTCTAGACATTAGCAGTTGTGTTGTGCCGGCAACAGGAAGTTGAAAAGGAAGTTCGTCTTTTAAAAGCTTGGCTGGAGGAATGTGTCTTCACACTTGTGTATCCCTTTGTGCATTTTATTTTACCATGAGTAATCCCCTCTATGGAGGACCAGCTCTGCCATCTTTAAAAATAAATACAGAAATAAATAAATGCTCAATAAATAAATAAGCATACAATTAATTGGCCCCCAAAATACAGTAAACAAATAAGTGTATGTAGAAATTAAGTTATTCAGTGAGACATAAATGTATATATCTCCTTTAATTAGCTTCTTTATTTATTCGCCTTTGTAATAATTACCTTATTTATTTATTGTCCATTATAATCTTCAACTTTATTTATTAATTATTTATTTTTTTAAGTATTTATTTATGTGCATGTCATAAAATGTTTATCTGTTTTATTCTTCCTTTGTATTTTTCCCCCCCATTCATTTCTTCAATGCTATTTATTTCTGCCTGTCATTTTTACATTTCTGTGAGCATTTCTGCCTCATTCTGCAGATGTCGAGGACTGTTTCTGAGAGGGTCGACTTCTGCCCAATGGTTGGTTAGCATTTTACTGCATCG